CTCGGCTCCAAACCCCGTGACTTCCTTTCTTCCCCGGGCACGGTGGGGGCGAGGGAGGGACATCATTTGGTGCCCTTTGTGTTTCTTCAGGCTGGTGCCCATCACGGCGTGCTATTTTCCCACCTCTGATGCCGCGCCAGGGGCTCTCACCTCTTGGCCTGCGGTCAGTGGGCCCTCGGCAGGGCCTTGGGTCTTCGCCTACAGCCTCACAGCCTAGGTGCGTAGGCACACAGTAGGCACTTCGTAAGGACCCAGCTGCCTCTGTGCCTGGGAAGGAGAGTGACGCACGGGCTGGTGCCTCTCCTGTGGCCTGGCCATGGTCTCCGCGCCCCTGCCCAGCCTGGCTCAAGCTGCCGTGTGCCGTGGAGAGCAGGGAACAAGGGGGCGGGACACCACCTGATGACTGCCGTGCCGGGGTGAGCTCTCAGGCGGTTTCTAGATGCGTGGACAGCTGCCCGTGGGCTGATGCGGGCCTGCACAACCTCCTAGTAACCTGTCCCCCACCCACCCATTCACACCCCAAACCCCCCACCGCCATGGTGTGATGAGAAAGGGTGGGCGTGGACTGGGAAGACTGCCTGGGGTTAGCTGTGGTGCCCATGAGGGAGTGAGCAACAGTGGCTCCATGTTGGGCTGGCTGTTCTGATGGGGGAGACCCATCAGGGCGTGTGTGGGAGGTCGGAGGTCGGGGTGGGGGGTGGAGAGATGGAGGAGCTGCCTCGCTCTCCTGGCCCCCACACCACCCAGGGTCCCGGGGCCGCTGCCCTGAGTTTGTTGCCAGGTGCTGGGTTCCTTCAGGGGCTCCTTATCTCCTTGGGGCTCCCCTCCTCTGTGGGGCTCCCTGTGATGTTTCTTTGGCTGCGCCTCCTGTCAGGTGGGTGAAGCTGTCCACAGACAGCTGGAAAGGACTGTGGTGAATTAGGGTGACGACCCCGGGGGTGTGGGCTGTGCTCACAGAGGTCTGGCTGCATGCCAGGGGACCAGAAGAACCCAGCGAGGGCCCACAGGCTCTGAGCCCCAACAGCGGGGGGGCAGCCCCAAAGAGCTTGTGGGAATAGAATTGGATGGGGCAGGGGCTAGGGCAGGCTTCAGTGGGGGACTGCTTGTGACTGTTGGGGGCTTGGCAGCAAGTACCTTGCCTTCAGTGCTGTGGGCAGTGGTGGGGCCGGAGAGTAGAAGCCTCTATCTAGCAGTCAGCCCTGAGCCCTCCTCTCCTGCCAGCATCCCAAGGTCCGCCTGCTTGTCCTACCCCCCGGGAAGACATTGGGTTCAGGGGGGCTGTCTGCTTGGGGTCAGTAGGACAGAGCGGGCAGGGGCTCTGAGTGGGAGCAGGCCTGCCCTGAGGAAAGAAGGGAGGTGGTTGCCGTGGCAGCCGCTTAGCGGGCTGTGGGCGCTGACCGGCTCACTGAGTCGGCTGTGCGTCAGCCTCCTGCTAGCTGTCCCCCCCGGCAGAGCCTGTGAGCCGTGAGCATGCCGAACAATTG